AACTCTATATTTTTTTCTGTTTGGTGATTTATTTTTGTTTTTCCCCTAAACTTTTGGGGTGCATAAATTTTTTTGTTGGTTTGCTTCATCGTCATCATTTAAGATTCGTTATTGTCTTATTTTCTCTTTTACAGCCTTATGGCAGTCTTTTCCTTTCATGTCTCCATTTCTCATTGTGTTGTCCAAAAAAAAAAAAAAATAAATAAAAATAAAATGTGGTATTTTATTGGTAAGTTTTGTCATATTAACGAATTACTATTAATGAAAATATTATTCTACTTTGACTCGTGCAAATGTCTTTTAATAGTTAATTAGTAGGGTTAATTGCTAAATAAAACTTAACCTTTTTGCGTTTGACAATTTTATCTCAATATTTGGGTAATTGTAATATAATCTCGACTTCAACTTACTTATTGCAAATTTGGCTGAGTGATTGATTTTAGGGATTTGTGGATCGATTTTGTGTCCAAGTCTTCCATTGACACGAGTTTTTATGCCATCCACGTAGCAAGTTGACAATTTCCACGTATTTAAGGTATATCCATGCACAAAGCCGAAAATTTCACGTCAATGTAAGCTACCTGTGATGAGTATCCTTCTAGATCTGGAGTGAACCGGTAAATATAAGCTCCGATCTGTTCGAACTGCCTTCAAATCGACCAGTTTTTTGAAGGTCCAATCAATTTTAGGTTTGAATTGCAATAAGTAAATTGAGGTCGAGATTATATTACAGTTATTCCAAGATTGGGATAAGATTGACAAACGCAAAAATGTCAAAGTTTATTTAGCAATTAACCCTAATTAGTATGATTAGAAATAAAATAAAATTAAATTATATATTAAACTTTAGATCAATTCTTGAACTGTTGATTAGGCTAATTAAGCTAAGTGCTTAATAATAATCATGATTGAGAGCATGTAAAGTCGATTAGTGAAAGCAGGTGTAATTTCAAAATCAATGCTAATCATGTAAATTTTTTTTTTTTTTTTTTTTTTTTTT